GATGTACTGTTCCATTCGGAAGTCACGGTTGGTGCCACCTAAATGGGTTCCTGCAGCAAGGAATTGGAGGACATCCTCCTCCTTCATCTGCAGGATGTCAAGGGCTCCGGACATTGTTAAAGTTTCCCTTTTAAGTTACGATGGGAAGCAGGACAACGCCGTATGGACCCTGCTGTGGGTAGCGCGGAAAAAGTGGTATTTTCTGCTCTTAATGTATTCTTCATCAGTGATCGCGGGCTGAGTGCCAACCCTCTGCTAGGCCTTATCCTGGGTGCCGCTGGGCAGAAAGCTAAAACAGACAGACTCATGCATTAGTCAGGAGAGAACGAAGATGAGTGGATGCTCTAGCAGCGACGTGTCCTAGAAGCCTTAGCAGCACTGGGACGTACGTCGGGAAAGGGAGCAGCTAGAATGTTGAAAAGGTAGGTAAAGGACATGAGAGGCACAAGGCTGAGCAGGAACAAAGGTTTACAGGGCCTGGCTGGCTGCGCAAACCCTGGGCTCTCCCAGCGTCTGCATTTCAGTGAGACTGGACCATGGGTGGGACTGTCCACATCAGAGTCTAAGGACAAGACATGGTCCGAAAGGTATCTGCCGTCCCTGAGGAAAGATGCCTTCTTGTGTTCTGAAGCCAATTGAGCACTCGTGTTCTGTTTTAGAAGTCAATGAGCCAAACCATTTTCTCCAGGTGGAAGCCTCTCCCTCAGCCCTCCCTGCCCCTAAATCCTGCTTGGAGATGTCATTAAGGGCCCTCAAGAAATCAACTCCTAGCCCAGCAAGCCCATGTGGCTGAGCAGAACTTGCCCGTAGGGTTTTCCTGGCTGGAATCTCCAGAGGCGGGTCATCGAGCTTTTTCCCCAGGCCTGCTGAGTTCCTACTGTCAATCTTTCAAGCCCTGAGAAGACGTATGGAATGTGTCTTCTTATGTTTATCCTTCAGAATCTACATCATTGCTCAGATAAGAGCTACATCAGAATATCCCACTTTCAGGTCTTCTGGATCATTGTTGATGTTAGATCTACTTGCCCGAGAGAAGGAGCCCTGGTGGTGTAGTGGTTACACACTGGGCTGCCAACTGTGAGGTCAGAGGTTCGAAACTGTCCACCTTTCCAAGGAAGAAGGATGGAGCTTTCTACTCCCCTGAAGAGTGAGTCTCGGAAACCCACGGGGGCAGTTCTACCCTGTCCTATAGGGCCGCTATGAGTCACACTGGACCCCATGGTGGGGAATTTAGGGTTATGGCTTTCCTTTAGGGTGTATTTCATTCAGCTCTTACATGTAAGAACCAAAGAAGCCATCCAAGAATCAAAGTCTCACTCCCCATGCCCCTTCCTCTTCCTTTTTTCACAAAACCCCTTGCTTCTGGGAAGGATGAAGCAATAAATCCTACTTATGATGCCCACTGAGAAAGCAGCGTGGGGGCCACAGCTGACCTCCTCAGGCTACAAAGAAGAGAATCTAACCACACACAACCCCAAACCTTGCCACAAGGCACAGATCAGCCACACCTCCACCCGTGGTTCCTTTCTTACCTTAGCCTCACATGTCAAGGGAAACTCCCGATGGGCTTGAAAATCCATCCAGATGGCCCAAGAGAACTCACAGATAACCTGGGAGCATTATCCCCAATGTTAACAATGACACATTAAAAAAGAGGCTGAGCTGTTCCACCCCCACTTATCAAGTGTTAATGACGTTGAGGAATTTCC